TTTATCCTGTTTTATTTCGTAGTGGAAATTGGCCGGTTTATCGAGAAGCCATGTTTCGTATTTGGTGTATTTTTTACCGATACTAGAGAAAAAATTATAACAAGTTACCACTAGCCTTTTTAAGCGATGTGTTTTATTGAGATAGTATTAATCATCCTATCACGCGGACACTGGCTAATTCTCTTCACGTCTTTAATGATTACTATGTAGAAAATTTTCATAGTTCAATTAGACGTCGGGTACAACCATCTAACACAGCAGATCAAATCATTCGGGAAGCACAGATGATAGATCTGTTGCGTAATAATAATACTTTTGTAGAAACCTTCTCTGACGATCATAATATCAGATATACGGCGAAGCAACTAGAGTTTCTTGAAAAGAGATCTGCAGTATTTTTACTAAACCTTTTTACTAATGTTTATAAAAATATAGGTCAGTCGATTTCAAAAAATTCGAAATATGGATTTCCAACATTAGAAGATGACATTGATGTTAAAGCCTTACCAACAGCCTGGAGTACCATTCATCCTCCACGAAACGATAAGTATTGCGACTTGGAAAACTGTACGAGGACGTGTGAGGTAGGATTTATACTTAATTGTGGTCACGCTTATCACTTTGAATGTTTATTATTTAGGTTGGGCAGTCAATGCAAGTATTGTACGGACTACTTTGTGAACGGAATCGAAAGAAACTGCCGAAGTTTTGACGATACTATAAATTCGGCTGAAGTCATAACGGTTGAGGGTGAAAGTGAACAAAATACTACAGAAACTACTAAGAAAAATACTAGTACTGTTGAGGTTGACAATGTAATTGTAGATAGTAATGTTGATCGGTTTTACAATACGGCTATGGATAATTTTAAAGCAGCATAGAATAATTTATTAATGTTGAATTTTAATATGTATTTTAATCTTTTATTACTATAACTAATAAATAAAAAATAAAAAAAAATGATAATAAAACATAAGTAATAAAATCGCAGTTTAGCATCTCAATTTATTTTATTTTTTTTAATAAAAATTAAGTATTTTGTAATCGTTAAATCATGTCTTCTCTTAATGATCAACGCCACCTCTGATTGGATAAAATCCTAGTCACGACAAAAAATGATCTACAAAAATCAGCCAATCACAGTGAAAGCCCGCTATGCTCGATAATGTGCAGGAATTTAATTTTGCCGCGATTTGCAAACTTTATTTCATATTCGATTTCAAAATTTTAATACACAAATAAAATTTTTTAAACTCCCACTTATTTCCGAAATGCATTAATTTTTTTAATCCTAAACTCCCTATTGATAGTATTTTGTTAAAACACACGCGCAGATAGGACATTTGTTAGGAAAATCACTGTTTAGCATTTGCTTTCAAACAGTGATTTTCCTAGCAAATGTCTCAAATATGATTCGAGTCCCAAACTCGAGCTTTCATATAAACTCGCTCTTTATATATAATGTCAATAACTTCATACACAATTATATAAACATTTGTAAAGTTCATAAAATTTTGCAAACCTCAATAAAATCAAGTTTCATCGTTATTTCTATTCATTTATAATATTAACTTTATCACTATTGCCATAATAATAAAAATATCGTAAATAATGAGATATATTTTTATTTTTATAAATTTAATATTTTTATTTATTTTTACATTACAAAGTTATTCGAAAATTTATCAACATCCTTTAGCTGAATTTTTGGATGTAGATGATGATAAAGTATCTAATTTATTAAAAGTTGAAAAGCAATTAATAACGACGGATGGAATCTTAAAACCATTATTAGAGAAATATAAAGCGAGCTTTGGAGGATCTTACATAAATTTAAAAAAGAAACATGTAATTGTCAATACATTAGACAATGGGAAGATTGGAGAAATAATGCAGTCACCTCAGATGAAAAGACATAGACGGTTTTTATCCTTTGAAGATGCAAATAAATCCCTACTTGAATTAAGATCCTTATTTAATGAGATAAGAAAACTGTCCATAGAACATATAATCAAAGCCAATACTACACTAAACGTTCTTATGTACACTGATATGGAGGCTAATAATAACATTGTAACTTTATCAAATAATAATGAAATTGATGAGAAATTTATAGACTCTATCAAAAAATATGATCCGATTTTACTTTATTCAAAGGTGCCGAAATTGTCAACTAATATAGATGTTTCTAAACACCAAAGTAAACTTAGCAGACGTGATATAACTACAAAGGTCTTAAGTGGAGATGGTTTACATAATAGAGTTGGTAGATTTAAATGTTCAGCAGGCTTTTGGGCAAGAAATGCAAAAAATGCAAGTCTGAATTACATTGTAACTTCGGGTCATTGTTATAGTCCTAAATCAAATGATTTTTATCATTTTCCATGGACTTATACCAACAAGCCACGAAATATTACGATTAAAACAAAATATATTGGAAAATCAGTATTTCGTCGTATATCTCCATACGATTTTAATTTAATCCAAGTAACAGGTAATGAGTTCAAACTATCAGCGAATGAAATAACGAATTTAGCCTATAAAAAATATCCACAATTATTGATAAATGACCGTATAGGCGTATCTAGCCATGGTATTCATGTGTGTAAATCTTCGTTGTCTAGTTTTCTCACTTGTGGGTATACAAAGGGGCTTAATGGGATTTTTATAAATAAATTTGGTATTAAAAAGGACTTGATCATTACAAGCATGATCTCAATTTCAGGTGATAGCGGAGGGTCTGTATTTTCTTTTACACAAGATTTACGTTCAGTAAATTTAATTGGTATCCTCGTCGGAGGTGACGGTCCTAACAAACTTTCTTTTAGTCTACCAATAGAATTTATTCTCAATGATGATGAGATAAAATTATCTCTTGTCAGCATACCTAAGTCTAATGAATAATATATATTTAGCATTTATTATCTGGTTTAGTAATTCTTTAAAAAATTCTATCATAATAAATATTTAATTAAATCTTGCGATAAAAATGATAAAAATGGTAAAAAAGTATATACTAAAATTAAAAGTTATACTGATCAGCTATAATTACTAACCCTAATATATATAACACCGGATCAGTATAGTATAGTTTCCAAAATTCTGGCTGATCTGCTATAATTTCCACGTTTTATATCTCAGGTTAAACGCTAGCTGAGATTTTGTTTTACTTATTTATGTCGGAATAAAACTCCTAAAAAGGAAACAGACGATTAGCGTTAAATTTTCCTTATCGTTATCTATGGATATTCATAATGAGCAATATAAAGATTATAACTAAAATAACACAATATGAATGATTCTTTTACATAAGGTTAACTTTGTTTCTTATTACCGTAAAATCTCGAAGTAGAGGGCATGGGCGTTATTTTGAAAAAAACAGGTTCAAAAATAGTGATGCTAAAGAGTCCGTTCGGTCCGACCCAGCTCCGGTCCTTAGTAGTTTAACATATAGATCATTTTGAAAGCGAAATGCCAAAAGTATTCATGATTCACTTTTATCAAATTTGAAATAGCACGCAAATGTCCGCTATTTCGAGATTTTATGGTATTCCTTTTATTTAGAGTTCCAATCCATTATCCGTTATCCAAAGTATCCGATCTGAATTTATCCGAATATCTGTCAGATTATCCGGACATTTGACCTGTTTATCCGATCTCAATGATCCAGATAATTCGGATGAATGACGGATTTATCCGGATTGGAACTACTTAGTTATTGTAACGGTGAGTATAATAAGAAATACAAAATTTTAATGTAAGTTTTATACAATATTTTAAATATATAAGCTTTTTTAATTAGTTTTTATTTTTTTCACTTCAAACTTTTGAAAAAATTATTGGACATTATATAAATAATCGAAAAAATATACTGTAATAGTTGTTCAAAGTACATTCATTGCCTAGCCATTTTACAAAACCCATCAAGTAAACATGAAATCCAAAATTTAAATATTAGATATTTAATACTTTTAAGTTGGTTAAAGTTGGAGTTATCACAAAGAATTGAATTTTCAATCAGATAAACATAATCATATAAAAATTAAGTTTGTTTTATTGTTTTATACTATTATTGGTCAATATAAAATTAAAAACGTCTGTATATTAAATTTAAAACTAGGTAACCTTGTAAAGATTCTAATTATCAATATCAATAGGCATTACCTTTGTAAAGTTACCCAAATTGTAACTCGACCAGCTGGGATGCAAATTTGACTAATGACTATTCCAGAATTTAAGAATCGACCAGGGCGGCCTTTCCAGAGTACGGATAAATGGCGCAGCCGCGGCATAATAATAACTAATCGATAACAAGCCTTAAAGCCATTAATCAGTACATTTGTTTATTAAGGTTTGAGGTTTTAAATAAATATCGATTATTGCTCGTACAACAATTTGATTGGTAAATTTTCAACTGCGGGAGTGGCTGCGCCATCGATCCGTATTCTGGGGGCTGTTCTGGTCGATTCATAACTTAACATAATTCCAATAGGCAAATAAATACAGGTTTTTTAACAAAACTTAATGCAATTAATAAAACCTCTTCAAAAATATTACAAATAAAGCATCTAACCAAGAAACTAGCCAAAATACAAGAAGTAATAGTTGTCATTATAATAAAAAAATTAAGAAAGAGTTGATATAATATAGTCAGAACTTCATAAATACACTGCTATCGGGATCATAAGAAAAAAAATTAAAATAGTATACTTAGAGAATATGTGCATTTATAGAGTAGAAATTATATATAGCTCTTATGAGTGTATTTAGAAAGTTTTTATTTAGTCCGTGCATTTATAGAGTGCGCATTTATGGAGCTTTGACTGTAAATATTGATGTAAAATTGAACATAGCATAAAAAAAATTTTTAGTACAAATAACTGGTAATTAATTGTGGCAGCTTATGCTGAGATTGGCTTATACTGGGAATTTGACTTATTTTATTATCAAAATTACAAAAATTTTTGGGCCTTTTTTGTAGTCCTTTTTTTTTATAGTTAGGTTAGAAATTAGGGTTAGTATTTATAATAAAAAAGTATATGTGGATTTTAGTAGCTGTTAGGGATTTAAATGAGGACCCCAAAGCTTAGCATAAGCCAATCTCAGCATAAGCCGCCACATTAATTATCACCTTTATTTTTAAAATGCAGTTTTAGAGTAAAACAGGGTTAGATATAAAGGTTCAAATTTTAGTTAGGGTTAGTTTTTGAGAGTTCTAAACATTTTTAATATTTTTGATGTAAGTTAACTAGTAGGGTTTTGAGATATAATACCCTAGTGATAATCATTACTAGTTATAATAATAAAATTGTTTTTTTTAAAAAAAATTTTATCAATCAGTAAAATTGTACAGATTACTCTCATTAATATCAACCCATTTGGATTAAACAATTATGTTAATATGTGCGAGGGTTGATAACAACGGGATAGTTTTTATATAGCTTAAGACTATTTTTTCTTAATAAGAGGTTGATATTAACGGGAGTAATCTGCACTGATTAAAATATGACATATGTATGTATAGCCCGGGACAGTTAAACATATCCAATCTATACTATAGAGCGCCAATTTTTGATGCTTATATAATCAATTTTGATTGGCTAATTTTGGTGTAATTGATTCTAATTGGTTAATTAATATATCTCTTTTCTTTTTATTTATATTAAACACCAATTTTTTAAACTATTATAAACTTTAACCTCTTACAACTTTTTTAAAACAAAAAATAATAAAAATCCTCTGACAGAAATGTAGTTTAGCTAAAAATCTATCAATTTGTCAGAGGGTTTTTTGATTTAATTTGTTATAACGAGTTAAAGTTTTACTAGTAAATAGTGGATACATTTTACTGTCCAGTACTGTACATTATTTTACATTTTTGAAGCTACCTATATCAATTTTTACTTGACAGAAATTTGAAAATGACTAGTGACGATACCCGGGTTGGATATTACCTGGGTTATCTGCAGATAAACAGATATTCAAGTTGTAGGTTATCTAATGTCTTTTGATTTTAATATATTTTGGTTCAGTTTTACACATTTTACCAAAAGTTCACAGCCAAAGTTAAGATTAGGACATGCAAATTAAATTAGTTGTTTCTCGTTACATGGACAAGCTAATAGGACCCGGCCGGCCGGCAAAAAATGTTATATTTAAAAAATTTTTTCATATAAAAAAATTTTTATAAATTTTTTTTTTTATACAAGAATAAAAAATTTTATATAGAAAAAATTTTAACTTTTTCTAAAAAAGTTACCCGG